CTTTGGATTTCCATTCATTCATTGTTGCACATTTCCTCCATCCCAAACCTATCCCCCAGAACACTACCCTCTTGGAAAAGTAATAGAAAATTTCTATCATTGTTTTACAAACCCTCCCCCAGGTCCACTCCACCATGTAGAAGAGTATTTGATAGTCAATCAGCTGTGAAAAGAACAAACAAATCTATTTTGGAGGAAGTACAACTAGAGTGTTCAGGTTTTATTCCCCTAGTCTCCAACTTTTTAAAAAAATTGTGATTTTAATAAAAGTTTACAGAAAAGTTAGATATTCATTCATTGACTATTTCATATTTTTCTCCCTACACACCTTCCAGTTCTTTAAAAAAAATTCACTCATTTTTGCATAATTTCTTCACCCCTCCACTCTAGTTCACTTTGTTATGCACCTCTTATTCTGGATTGTTGTGTAGATTGTTCTTTAGAAGCAAGGATGGTGGAACTTCACCTCACATACTTTGAATATGTTGTTGGGAAAAGTCTGGGAAAGGTAGAGACTCCGTGAAAAACAAAAGAGCCTCAGTGAAATGAATTGACGTGGTAACTTCAACAGTGTTCTAGAGGATGATGGAGATTGTGAGGATGGTGCAGGATAGGGCAAGGTTTAGATCTCTTGTTCATAGAGCAGCTGTGAATCATAGTTGACATGATGGCACCTAGTAAAAGCAACTTTATGGAAGGGAAAATGTATGGAATAGTCTGTACTATGCTACAGGTAAGTCATCTTCTGAGGTCTGAAAGCCATTCCATTGTTTATTCTAAGAAGCATTATGTTTCCGCAGCCAAAACTCAAGGTAATAGTTAAGGTTCTTTTTACTCCTCTATCATTATGGACTTTTAATTCACAATTTGTATTTTAGGAGGATCCTGAAGGAAAATCACCTCCTAAATATGAAGCCACACCAGCTAAGAAAGAAGAGTCTGTTTATTATGCTAAAGAAAGGAAGGAAGAACCTTTGGTAAAATCTTTAATCACCAGTGGCCCAGGTAATACAGAATTTCATTTTGCCATAGAGTAAAATACGCTTCCATGTTAAAAATACATTTTCTTCAGATGAATATTCTACTACAAAAATGTTTCTCAATTTGCAACTATTTGATTTATTAATAAAATGTTCAGCGCGGAAAAACAAAGTTTCAATGCTGCAGGCAATAAGTACTTTAAATAGAAAGAATTCAAAGATAACTGATGTTGTGAGGTGCCAATGAGCATTAATTATGTTGTTGTAAGTAGGTCACTGTGAGTCACAGGCAACTTGATGGCACATAACCACAACATGTGTACCTTAGAGATGGCTGTATTACCCTCTTAAGGACCAATTACATAGAAAATAACCAACAAACAAATCAATCCTCTCTTGAGGAAAGAATAGAAATAAAAGCGATCTAATTTATGTCTCTTGAACATACCATAGACCACCATGAAAACAAATAGATCTGTATTAGTGAGAGTGAAACCAAATTTCTCCTTGGAAGCTAGAAATTTGAAGCTCTGTCTCACATTCTTTGGACACATGGCCAGGAGGAAGGGGTCCTTGGAGAAGGACATCATGCTCGGAAGGGTGGAGGGACAGCACAGGAGAAGGCGACTCTGATGAGATGGATTGGTACAGTCACTGATATAATGGAGGTAGATGTGTCGGAGTCAGTGAGACTGGATCAGGACAGGACAAGCTTCAGAACTTCAGGGTCACTATGAGTCACAGGTGACTTGCGGCACATAACAACAAATTTGTTTGCTTTTTTAGTGTGAAAAAGGTACTTTTTTATATTTGAAAGATTACTCCAGTTTTACACAGATAACATGTACTTTGTATGGTTTTGCAACTATTCAAGCCCTTATATATTAGTTTCTTATACACTCTATGCATGCTGTATGTGTGAACATTGTTTATGTGGGCACCTGATATTTAAAAAATCTGATAACCCTTAAAAGCAATTTAAAAATAATATCATTTTGAAACATTCCACTGCTGAGGTTGTTGTTACAAACATCGTTGAACTCTTACTGAATGCTAGATTTTTTTTACTAGGCTTTACTCTTGCTGTATGTGTTCCATTATATGTGCTGCTTATAAGATATTTAAGTTTTGTGGTTGGTTCTAGAGAAGAGAGGAAGACAGTGAGAAGTAAAGCTCCTTCTTTATTTCTCTCTAGCACCTGGAAACTTTTGGAAATAATTTTTCTTAAAACTTTCTTCTCTGCTGATTCTATTACTATATAATACAGCTTTTGTTTCCACTCTCATTATTAGGATTATATCTTAGTTATTCTATTGCTCTTCTATTTGCTTCCAAGTGAAGTTTGGGCTTTTCCTAAAAATTTAATCTTGATACATTCCCCCTTCTAATCTCTACTTTTTCAACTTTACAAATGAATAAATTGTCTTACTTTGTGCTAGGCATTCACTTAACACTGAATCTGGGGAAGATGTCCCTCCACACAGCTAGCTGGTAGGGGAGGCAGATCTATGAAGAAATATTCAGTACTGATATGACAACCTAATAATAATGAGATTTAGACTAAAATAAAAGTATATTTAACCTATACCTCTCTGAAGTATAGTATTATAATGTAGACTGTTATTGCTAGGTACCATTGCATAATACTACATGTCATAGTGACCCTAGGAAAAACAGATCTGAATGTTGCCCTTTCCTGCACCATCCTCACATTTTCTGCCATGCTCAAGTCCATTGTTACAGCCTATATGTTAATCCATTTCCTTACAGGCCATCCTCCCTATGTGTAAAACCATTTCCTTGATGATTCTAAGGAAGTAGATTGGCCTGTCTAGCTTCTCTTTGAAGGACAGCCTGGTGTAGAAGGAATATGGGCTTTGGAATTCAAAGTTTGACCATAGCCCTTGCAAAACTACGGATAAGTATGTTATCTAAAAGATGAGGATAAAGAGTTAGTTTATGGTTCTTGTATTAACTGTAAAATACTCAGATGATTGCTCAAGACATAGTATCTTTTTTATGAATAGACCTGGAAATTTAGTGTGTAATGTGCTAGGCTGCTAACTCAAAAGCTTGGCAGTCTAGACCTGGCAAGTGCTCTTCAGAAGAAAGGGAGGGAGCCTTCTTCCATAAAGATTCACAGCTTCAGAAACCCAAGGAGGACCACCCTGAGTAGGAGTCAGCTTGCCTGCAATGAGCTTTAATGTCCTCGTTTATCTCAGCTTCCATCTTTCCACTCATGAGAGTAGAAATTCATGGAGTTCCAGATTCCGGTAATGGTTCTTTTGAGCTGAAGGTTAGGAAAAGAGATGAAGGACAAGAATGTAACAAGTGAGGAATGAAGTAGATCCAGAGTCTCTGGGTAGTAAAAATTGCTAGTGTGCTTGGGTGTTAACTGAAAGATTAACACCAAGAGGTGCCTTAGAAGAAAGGTCTGGTAATCCGCTTCTGAAAAAATGACTCTTTGAAAATGCTACAGGGCACAAATTTACTCCGATATAAGCACTTCATAGTGGGAACTGGCTTGACAATTGGTTGATTATTAAGATATGTACATAATTCTTGAATGAGAAATAGAATGGACATGCTATTAGAATTTTCCATTGTATAGGAACTTTCTGGTACTCCCAGCAGAAGTTGCCTTTAAACGTAACTGAACTCATAGACCAACACATTTACATGGTTTTGGATGTTCAGCATTGTTGCTTCTTTTCTTTTTGCTAGCATCTCTTGCTTTTGATCAGGATGTGGATAAACTTTTCAAGATCTTGGAATTTCATGAGTATAAGACATCCAAAAGTCATGCTATATACTTATAATTTTATCCATTAAGGTGAATGGTTCACAATGTACAACTTTAACAGTTAAAATCTAAGAGGAATCCTAGTGGAACAGTTATGGAAATGTTTGGCTGCTAACTAGAAAGTCACCAGCTTAGATCCAACAGTCACACCATAAGAAAAAAGATGTGATAATATATTTCTGCAAAAATTTGTAGCTTTGGCAGATGTATAGGGTAATTCCTTATACTGTATAATCGATATGTGTCAGAATTCACTTGCCAGCAGTGGATATGCTCAGACTTAGTTGGTTAACCCTCAATTCTTAAATATACTTCAAAGTAGTAGAGTTGTGTTTTTTAAAATATGTTCTGTGATTCAGATGTCTCACCATTTGGTAGGATTGCTTCTTTTTTATATTTAAGTGAATTAATGTGATACACATTTTGTTGAAAATATAGTATATTTCAGCTCTTACAATGAACATAGCAGTGGACAGGGTGCAAAGATGACCAAGACTTTCAGGGGCTAGAGTCTTGTACGGAGACAGATACACAGATAATGCTGAAATCAAGGCCTCTGAGCTGAGTGTCTCTTTCAGTTGTTGAGGATTGTGTGGTCAATATCAACTCATATCAATCCCATGTGGCTGAGTAGAACAGCCTCATAACAAGAGTAGAATGTCAGATTTTTCTTTCCCAGGTAAGTTTGGATGATTTAATTAGCAGGGTTTTTGTTGAGTACTTCATTGGGAGCTCTGGTGGCTTAGTGGTAAGGAATTGCATTGATAACCTAAAGACATGGTGTTCAAATCTACCAGCTGCTCTGCAAGAGAAAGAGGGACAGACTCCTCTCATCTAGTTTACTGCCTCTGAAAATCTGCTGGAGGATCAACTATGAGTTGGTTCCAACTTGAGACTACATAAAAACAGCAATTTCTCAGGGAGCAAAATAAAAATGTTATAGGAAAATAGAATGAGGATTACTGGGAAGTCTGTGGTTACTGGGCCAGATTTCCTGCTTGATGACAAAAGAAGTTAAAATATGTCAAGTTTTGCTTGCTCTTATTGTATCTTTGTTTTAGGTGAGAAAATATGTAATCTAATTTTTCAATTGGTTTGGAAAAAAAAAATCAATGTTTTCTCTGACTCATGGCAACCCTGTGTCAAATATATTTATTTATGGTCCCGCAGAAGGTGATGTGTATAAAGCTCGGACTTCCAACACAGAAATTCAAGGAGCAACAGATGTAAAAGAGGATCAAGATGTGAAAGTGGAAGTACCTGTGGATCAGGTATGTTTATGCTGGGGATACTGGATGATTTTAGACTACTATTCTCATCTACCTTCTTTTTGCCAACTCTGCAGCTTGGAATATGAAGAATAGATGACTCTTTCACTTGTACCCCTTAATTCTGATCCATCATTCCTTGCTTTCTTTATAGTCTCACACTCAATTTCCTCTTCCCCAAGTTAACTCTAGCGTCTGTTAGTTTCTAGAATGTTCTGTGGTAACTCTAGCTATTATTCATCCTTAAGATTCTGTATTAAGCATTTTCATAGCTGCAAATTTATTTCCTCTTAGGATCTGCTACTATATGGACCCTTACTGAAGTTTACAACTACATACTTAGAATAATAATTACTTGGTTAATGTCTCAATCCCCAATTAATCCATAAGCTCCATAAAGAAAGGATATGGTGTGCTTTGACCACTACAGTAACCCTCCAACTAACTGATTCCTTGGTAAGCAAAATTAAACACAGAACCTAAGGTGGATGATTTTAATATGTGGCCCTCAGGCATGGTTTTCATTGTTTTGGGTCAAGCATTCTTCTAAGTGGTATAGCACTGGTCTGTCCATTCGCTGTACAGAGTTAACTCGTGGTTACTGTGTTGCTAAATACTGTGACACTGAGGCATCAAATGTGATAATGTTTGTCCATGGTGGACAGTATTTTATGGTGGTGGTTGTTGTTGTTAGGTGTCATCGAGTTGTAGATGACTCATAGCGACCCTATGAATGAAAGGCCAGAGCACTGTTCACAAAGTTTCTGGAGGCAAGCCATTTCAGAAGTGGAAGCCACTCCTGCTTCCATGCTTGTTTTAATGGGAAGCTCCACCAAACACTGTCCACCATGTATGACCATTATCACATCTGGCACATCAGCGTCACAGTGTTTAGCATCACAGCAACCACCAGCTACCTCTGTACGGCAATGCACAGACCAGTGCTTTACCACTTAGAAGAATGTTTGACAATTTTTAAAAACCCAACCAATTTGAACCAGATCTGAGGGCCACAGATTAAAATCATCCACCTTGGGCTTGGTATCATAACTTTCTGTCCACTAGGCCAAGCTTGGAAGCAGGAATGGCATCCACTTCTGAAATAGCTTGCCTCCAGAAATGCTATGAACTTGGAGAAACGATGAAAGTTACACAATTGTTCAGGTCTTTTGTTCATAGGGTCACTATGAGTTGTCTATGACTCGACAGCACTTAACAACAAACAACAATACCAATTTTAGCTTTTGATGTTGTTGCTGTTGTTGTTGATTGCTGTCAAGTTGAGCACAACTTATAGCAATCCTACGAACAGAAGGCCTGAAGACTTTCTAGAACTATTGTAATTTATCAAAGTTCATGGAGTTTCCAGAGGCATGTTGTTTAGGAATTGGACACTACTCCTTCTTCCAATCAGCTTATGATAGCTACCCTTATATCTGGATTTAGTGAAGTGATTCAGATATAAGAACATAGTGCAGTGTCTGGCACACAGTGGACAATCAAAATTTCCTTTTTTCTGTGTCACAGAGGATTGGGATGTGGAGTCCTTAGAAAGGTATAGAAGGAAAAGGAAGGAAGTAAATGAGTAGGACTTTGTAGGGGGATATGGAAGAATGAGAAAGAGATGCTTCCATGATTTAGTGGTCTGGGTACTTATGTCAGAGTGAAAGCAATAATGAAAATATGCATAGGTTTGTGTAGTAATGATGTTGCATAGAAATTCTTAGCATCATGAAAGATAGAGGAGTCAGGAGGAAGGATCATAGTAGAGGGTAATTGTTGCAAACCACAATCCTTTACACAATGCCTGGAAGAAATGAACATAAAGAGACAAACACACACAGAAGACAAGACAGGACTGCTGCAAAGAAAAACACACTCACACAGACAGGACAAGATACGACAGTGGTGTGGATCTGCGTATATTAGAATATATAGGAGTCTAAGCTATGATCTCATTTTTGGGGGTTTCCATAGAATCATAATAAACAGTGATCTCATATCTCAGTTTCATAGAATCATAAAAGAGAAACAATAGATCAAGGGAGAGCATACACTCTGTTCCTTGTGATAAATGGTGCTTTTCACATGAAAGGAGTTGGGAGACTGAGACGACTTACGATATATGATTTACGGGAAGAGAGACCTCCAAGTTCCCAGTCCATTGCAGGACAGAGGACAAAGGTTTCTCTTTAATTATTAAACCAGAGAGTTACCTGTTTGCAGGCTGAACTCTCAATAACTCCGAAGCCCACTCGCTTTCGAGCTGGGCTCCCAATAATGGAGTCCGGTCCTCAGGGTTATCCTAAATGTTGGCCTTTCTCTCCCCTCCCCCCATTATAGTACGCCATTTCTAGTCTTCAGCTACCTTAACTGCAGAAAGATGGTCTTGCCAATCAGTATGGTTGTGCAAATCAGCATCAGCTTTGGGACTAGGATAAGAGAAAGAGTGCTTCCCACATTGAGCAGCAAGACTTAAGCCAGGTCTTTCCTCATTAGATCAGACAGGACTCATGTACATATCACAATCAAGTGTTTGCTCAGAAAAAGTCATTTAC